TCCATCCTCATCATCCTGCCGCTCTGCATCCCGAAGGACATCGGCTTCCAGAAATACGCCAGGTGAGGCCGCCATTTTCCTTCTCAAGGATGTAAATTGTAACATCTGTCAATGCAGAACTCAGAAAATAATTCGTAAATTTTTCCATGGCACCACATAGTCCCCGTCACTCTTTGTATTTCTTAAGGCAGTTGTACTTCTTCTCTGTAAGAAAATTAGTCCTGCCCTTGATAATCTTTTTACTTGAGAGTAGACTTCCTTTCTTTAAGTTCTTTCTTCAATCTTACTCAGGTACAGTATGTTTGGTGTTAGAAAAGCCCCCAGAAGGTTACACAAAGATTACACAGTATGAGAAGTTTGAGAAAAGAAATCAAGCTTCATAACTTCTGCCTTGTTAAACTGAATATTTTTCTATTCCTTTGTTTGCTCCAGTTTTTTAGGTGTTGCGAGTATCCTGTATGTTACTGTGATCGTGTCTGTGAAATACTACACCGGAGGATATCCACCAGCTGACATTGCTACCAGGTCAGGTGTCATCATTACTGTATCTTTATTTGTTCTCATTAAAGTTTCATTTTGACATCAGCCGACCTCATTCCAAAGTTAATCGTGGAATCTAGATCTTGATAGGAGTTTCAGCACTCCATAATAGTGTTACATGTACTAATATATAATGTCCAACTGTTTTTCAGCCCAAAGATGTTCACAGATGTGTTTATAGCAGTCCCCACAGTTTGTTTTGGCTTCCAGGTAAAAAGTGTAAAGCACATGTTAATCATCTTCTGTTGTCCTTAAAGTAACCAAGACTTATTTCCTTTTCTATCTTTACTTCTGGTTCTCTTTTTACATCATCTGTAAACAATAAGATATGTTCCTATGTTGATGTGTTGCAGTACCACATCAGTGCAGTTCCAGTCTATGCCAGCATGAGAAAAAGAACCCTGGGCAGTCTGGCTAAGGTCATGTTTTTTGCCATGGTGATCACAATGTTGGTCTACACAGCCACAGGCATGTATTTATCCTATACTTGTTTTATCCTTATGAATTTGTCCTTTCAATGCTGACAGTCTGATTTCAGAAGAGAAATATGTGCACGCAATTCAGCCTGTGGCTGCGATGTGAAACATACCAATTGTACTGTTTATTGTATTTGTGAAATAAACCAATAATATACATTGTTTCTGATTAGCACTCAGCACTTAGAGAAAGAGTGTTGAGTTGAACACACACCATTATCAGTGGACTAGACCCCTATCTAGGTACTGAAGTGGCCTTTATGGGCTGAGGGCCATAGAATGAAGATTGTCTCTGACCCAATACACTGAAAGGCATGGTAATGACTTAAACTTAACTAACATGGTGCCAAAGACTTTTTTAAGATTTATGAAAAATTTTATCTGTAATATTACATTTTGCAGGTGTGTATGGAGGACTAACGTTTGGTCGCAGTGTTACGAGTGACGTGCTGTTGTCGTATCATGCCAACGATGTCTCCGTCACGATTGGTCGAGCAGCCCTCACGCTAGACATCCTCACATCCTATCCCATCCTGCACTTCTGCGGGAGGTACGGACAGAATTGTTTTATTTTTTTATGAGTGTAAAAGGTAATCTCCACACTGTATGTGGATATGGGTGTGAGATACAAATGTTATTGTCACATACATTGTACAAGTACATGTAGCTTGGTTGAATACTTGGAATAGTATCCAGTAGCTTTACCTAATGTTATGATGTATCTACAAAATGTATTTGTTGTAATGCCCTGTTTCAGTTATTGTTATGATATCTAAAGTAACATTTGTGTCTGGTAAAGATTACCAGAAGGATAGATGATGTTCAAAATTTGTATCATTTTGTTCATGGTACAGTTATTTTGCATATTGTTTATCTAGCTTATGATCTAAAGAATTACTTATCTCATCATGCTCGGTTTATGTTATAGAACGGTACTTGACGGGTTCTACGTAAGATGGCGGCGGTTGTCACCAGAGGACAACCTGCGACAAGAGTTTGTGCGGCGCGTTGTACAGACCATGGCGTGGTTCTGGCTGTCCCTGTTTTTCGCCATCATGATCCCCAACATCGGGCTGGTCATATCTGTCATCGGGGGGCTGGCAGCTGTCTTCATCATGGTCTTCCCTGGTACATATCTGTTATTTTCTACTTTTTTATCCTAATTTGTATAATATTGAAGATGTACATGTACATGTATTTTGCCATCATGATTCCCAACATTGGGCTTGCTATTTTTCTCATTGGCCGGACTGGCAGCCAGATGAATTTTTTATTTTATTTCGGAGACAATTATACATTTTTACACACACTCATGCATACACACAAATACAACATACACACACACACACACACACATGCATGCACGCACACACGCCCGCACTGCACACACGTGCGCACACACACACACATTAACACATTAACACAGACACACACAGAAAGGAAGATTGAAAAAGACTGGCAGAGGTAGATAGACGAGGAGAGAGAGAGAGAGAGAGAGAGAGAGAGAGAGAGAGAGAGAGAGAGAGAGAGAGAGAGAGAGAGAGAGAGAGAGAGAGAGAGAGAGAGAGAGAGAGAGAGAGAGAGAGAGAGAGAGAGAGAGAGAGAGAGAGAGAGAGAGAGAGAGAGAGAGAGAGAGAGAGAGAGAGAGAGAGAGAGAGAGAGAGAGAGAGAGAGAGAGAGAGAGAGAGAGAGAGAGAGAGAGAGAGAGAGAGAGAGAGAGAGAGAGAGAGAGAGAGAGAGAGAGAGAGAGAGAGAGAGAGAGAGAGAGAGAGAGAGAGAGAGAGAGAGAGAGAGAGAGAGAGAGAGAGAGAGAGAGAGAGAGAGAGAGAGAGAGAGAGAGAGAGAGAGAGAGAGAGAGAGAGAGAGAGAGAGAGAATCTGTTCCTAGCCATTTTCATTCTTAACATTGGAGTGCCCATATCAATCATAGAAAGGCTGGTAGCCATTTCTATCATGGTTTGAATTGTCATGTATCTCTCTTCTTTTCTTGTCCCCAGGTTACTGTCTGGTCCAGGCTGTACTAATGCAGCAGCCGTCAGACAATGTGCACAAGGACCGTGCCCTGCTGGTGCTGGGGGTTCTGTATGTGTTCCTGGGTACGTTTATACTGGGAGAGAACACGGCACTGGCCATCATAGACGACATGAACGGGAAAAACTCTCTACAACAAATCTGTACTGTTCCTTGACAGAAATATTATGACACTGTTAGCGTACTTAATGTCCTAAATAATTATGTTACGTATGATGTTGATTGAGATGTCATCCAGGTATGTAATATTTGTTCATGTCTACTAGGAAAACTAGACTTACTCTATGATGTTTCAAAATGGTCCACCGTAATTCTTCAGGGTCACCGATATGCAAATTTTCCTGATATGTGAATGCCTTTGTTTCCTTCTTCGGATGAAGTGTTACAATTTTTCAGATAAAGCATAATCCTTTTGAGAAAGCTTTGCCACAGCTAATAGAATGTTACTTTCCGGGAAATGTGCATATCACTGACACGGGAAATACAGTGTATGTTGTTAGAAACATCAGAGAGTTTGCTCTGGTTTTTATCCATAGAGGGAACTCGTGAGTAAACAGAAGATGTAATGTAATGTTGTCACAATGGTGTTGTAAATACTTCTCTGTGATGTTGACATTATGGATAAAACTAAAATCTAGTCTTCTAAAATAGTGCTAAATCTAAGAAAATATACAGAAGAATGATAAAAAACACAAAACCGCAACAAAAGATTATTTCATCTTTACACAGTAAATATACCCACCCTTGCAAGCTGCTATTGCTGCTTACCCCCTGAACTTTCCCATCATGCAATACAAGTGTAACTGTTATGTACTGATGTCATCAGGGCAGCGGCTTTAATGTATTTACAATATTTTCGTCAAACATGAGTAATGTTATTCAATGCTGCCATGCAATAGAAAGATGCCACATACAATGCCAAACAGACCCAACAATATATTGGAGATCAGCAATCAAGAATAGAAAAAAAATAGTTAAAGATATCTTTTCTTTTTTCAAAAGGAATTTTAATTAGAACATGGCTTTAGTGTAGTAGTAGCTCCTATACACATGTTCAGCTTACAATAACAACTCAATTTACCTTGGTACCAAAAAGCAAGTTGCAATTTGTCAAAAAGTGCAATTTTTCCCCATAGAACCCAAAGTTAATTGGATGTGTCTTATTTTTCTAGTTAAATATACTAATGAAAGGGGCCATTAAGCATGTCTATTTTGACCACTTAAGGGACTTGGTCACAGGTGAACACTAGAAATATTGTTATTGTATCAATGCAAAAGATAATAGAAGGGACCACCAAAAAGTGACCACAATTACCATGTGCAGAGGTGGCCACTAGTGTATACAGATTTGTGAATACTTTATTAAAAATTAAAAAGAAAATGTATAAATCTTCATACATTGTAAAGTACTTAACACGTACCTTAGAAATGTACCAAAGGAATATATTGTGGAAGACAATAGGCAAACAACATGAATCAACTTCGAACCAAATATTTGTTTTCAGCCAACTCTATAATTATGCTTTCTTATACAATGAATCATGATGGACATTATCATGAGACAAGTACTTGTAATCAGATTTTAAAATGTCACAAATCTTCTGTAGTAAGTTGTAAAGATTGAAATAAAAACACACCGAAGCCCAAAATGTTATCTTTCTTGCTTTTATTTACATGCTGACATTTCTGTGCCAATAGCCAGACATAATCACTATTGTCAACTTGGCATAAACATTTTAATTTACCATATTTAATACGCCGTTATGTGCTTTAGCATTGAACGCTATAGTTTAAGATACAAGTTTAATTCCGAGCAGTGATTGTTAGAATGCAAACAACGAACAGACCAACACCACTGAGGTAGATTTAGTAAATGGTATAATGTTCAATGTATGAAGCTTTGTTACACAATGCTTGCTCAGGCGTTATTTTTACAGACTCAAGCTTACAGATTATATACATACATATATTAATATGATGCGACTGATAATCAATGTTGAAATCCATTGATATAATACTTAATAATAATTTTCACGATTAGCAAATGACAACTGTCGTCAAAAAGCTTGTTGACCATTTCTTAAATCGGAAAATTGTCTTCAAATAATCCCTTCCAAAGTCATACATATTGGACAAGCTCGTAGCTTCCTCTATTTGGCAATCAACATTAGTATGCCAGGGTTTAATCTTGGTGGGAAGTTAAATAAATCTTAAGATTAAATCTACGATATCATACATTGTTACTTATTCATAAATATTTATGTTAAGACGGTTTTCACCAAACCGAACACTTGTGTACAGGGTTCATGGGGCTGCCCACCGGACAGTGGAACGCCTCGGAGAACTCTGCCAACTGAGACACGCTGCCGATTACCCTGAAGGAAAAAACAACAACAATATTTCTAGTTTTTGGCTGTAGTAATGAGTTAGGTATATGAGTAGCGAAATTCACTGTACACACCAGTAAGATCTACTAGATTCTGTGCACAGTGAACAAGTTATAATTTCCCTGATGAAGATCGAACGTTCATATCGAAACGTTGGCTCTTGTTAATGGTTGTGAATAATGAACGTTGTGATTCAACAATTCATCAACTTGATAAAATTATTCACGGATATCGATGTTCTAGGTATATGGTTAACAAGAAAAGATGAAGACCCCCGACAGAAATAATAAAATACATTGTGTATAATTTGTCAGCCGTTTCAGTCTTTTACTAATTATTATGTCAAGGCAATACAAAAATTTCATTTTATATATACCTTATACATTTTATCAACTTTGTCTGAATTATCAATGATAGAGGATGATGCCACCGTAAAAGATTTACTCTTATCATTGCGCATTTTGTCTTGTACATCCCATAATCAGCTGATACATTTACCTGTACTTTGGTGGTGCGTGAGGATCCACGAGTAACATGACGTCTAACGCCTCAGGACGCTGTGTGATGCACCAGCTCTGCAGGCAGAAACACGTTACGAGTACGTTATTATGAGTTATGTTTTTACTCCTGTATGACTGCGAGGCCGTATCTGTTCCCTCCCTTACAAGCCATGTTGGCAAATTAAAGGAGGGGCTAGCTGTCGGTAGCCTGTGAGTGGTCTGAATGCCTGTCAACAGAACCACAAGACAGTCCGATTTACCTGGAACGACTAGTGACGATTGCAAAGGGGCCAAAGGGGTAAGACCGTAACGGCAAAAACATGGAGGCAGGACCTTGATGTAAGATTAATAAGCTACAGATGGAAGTAATTGGTAGAGAGGGCCAAAGACAGCATTAAATGGTAGGAACTAGTCTGTGGCCTATGCCAAAGGATGGGCAATAGTACGAACTAATTGATCTCATACCCCATGTGAACTAGAATGCGACGAAGTCTGATGTCTATAAATGTAACTGTGTATATCTATATACAAGCTAAAGTATAGACTGCACCTGTGCAAACGACATGAAGAACACCTCCTCGTGTGACCGGTTCAGTCCGGGCAGTAGAGGCTCGTCCTGGTGAACTTTTCTCCATAACTTATATCCCTGTAGAATGCGCAATAAAAATAAAAAACGGTGAATAAAAACACACATTTTAGACTAAAATCCTGTGTATCACGACGTCCGAAGCTGTCAGACCAATGACTAAATTCATTTCAAAATTTGCGACACCAAGCTTAAAGCAACCTTAACAAACGTTAAAGTATAGTTGTTAAAGCATAGAAAGTATCAAAAGGAAGCATTCCATCTGAGGCGTTAAAGTGTTATACTATGAAAAATTACTTAGCGATACTCACATAATATGCTTGCTTTAGGCCTCCGATGTCGGCTATATTTTCCCCCAGGGTAAGCCTGCCGTCTATCTGAAATATAGTTACTCTCACATTAGGCAGCTTCCAGCTTTAACCATCCAACATGGCGGACAAAACCTACGTCATTGTCACGTGAGCGCAAACGTCTGATGTATATATCGATCCGAATGTGCCACCAACGTGCCGCAATGTTGTGTCGGAAAGGACGTTATACATGTATATGGAGGTCCCGTATTTCGGGAGAGCCACACTACACGCATGTTAACCCAATAAACCCTTGGGTAGGGGTATGCCCAGGCCCCTGGTGTATGATGGACCAAACACCACTTTCTGAAAGTTGGTTATTCGCTAGAAATCACACAGATCGATGGGGGCCTGGCCTCGTATTTAGCCACATGGTGATTTACATCATCACCCTTACCGACTCCAGGAAAACAAGTGTGAAATTTAGGAAACACTAATGGAGATCCTAATAAAATTTTAAAAAAAAAACCAATGTAGCGTCAACTGAGTTGCCCACCTGTTTGCCTTCGATGACGTAGCTGTTGTACAGATCGATGACGCACTGTGACGCACGCGTGAAGTTAGTCCAGGAACTGTTGGACCACCAGGACTTCAGGTTCCCCTCCTTGTCATAGTTTCCTCCTGAAAAACGACTCAGTTGTTTAACCTTCTCCCTTATAAGGGTGCTTTGGCCATAACTGATCTTGGTGAGTATTTTAACCACACAGTGTTTTTCTATTGTGCTATATGTACCAAATGTGTACTGCCTTCATTAGCAGCTCAGGCAGCAGTAATAATTAAAAGGTAAAATCACATTGAGGTATTCCTTTAAAGATTTTAGATGACGTGTTGCTTGATGCGCAGGCGTTTTGACACCCTCCAAATCACTAACTGAACCTAAACTCTCAAATCTAATCAATAAGTAAACGTCGATACGGTTGGATTTAAGAAAGTACGTCTTTTGTTTGGCTGAATTTCTGTTCGTTTAGACCTCGATACTCACCCCAGTCGTCGTACCCATGAGTCAGTTCGTGAGCGATCACTCCGCCGATTCCCCCAAAGTTCATCGACCTAAACAGAACACAAGTTTGTTCACAATCATTTCAGAAGCACGTTGGTATGCGATTTACATACATGTAAGTATGACGAGGTGTAACACAACTCCACTACCAACAAATGTGTAAACGATGCTCCAAAAACGATGATTATGATACTCACATGGGGAACTTTGAATCGTAGAATGATCTCTGTAGTATACCGGCAGGGAAAACTAGGGTGGAAAAAACAGGTGTTGAGTTGTGAATCTGGACATGTTGGTCTAATCATGTGTATCATGAAATCATATCCAGATTCAACGCTGTTGATAGACTCACCCATCTCGTTGGTGTTTGGCCAGTAGTATGCATTCACAAGATGGGGTGGCATCGTCCAACTACAGATAGAAAGGCATAAGAGTTAAGGAAACTGCATGTATAGGAAATCAGTTACATACAGGTAATTTCATTTATGAAAAAAATTATATTGCAAAACGTTATCACCGATTTTAGATGTTTATGTCCATATGTTGCTCATTGACTCGTTTTAGCGGTGCCTAAGCGGTTCTAAATGTTACCCACAGCGTCCTGTCCACCGGTCTCTCTAGCTTGTCCAGCATCTGCCGCACCTGATGTCGCATCCCGCTCACCCGGTTCTGGAAGAAACTTTCTCTGCCTACACGCAGCTGCGGGGCATTGGATAAAACAAGTTAAAATCCATGAACAGTGGAGTAAACGTTACAATACTAACTCTGTATACGTAATTAACTGGGACTCATTCCAAAACGACCATTGTGTACATGTAGTGAATGGACAAGCGATGGTCTTGTGGTCTTTATCATACCGTTTGCCAACACAACGTGCAAAATGAAAATATGTTTCAAATCTGTGCATCTTTACCTGTGAACAAAAAGGAAAATGCAAGAGACACTCCTGTGCCGATATTTTTTTCGCTTCTATCTTAAAATTCTTAAGTAAAAATACCTCTGTAAACTTTTCATCCAGCAGGGTGTCATTCAGGATGTAGTCTGGATATCCAATCTTCTCCACCATGTGGTTCGACTGTCAGATGAGACGAGAAATAGTACATAGATCAAGATTCCTCCCCATTACAGAAAGGTTGATAGTAGAAGACTTATGGATTGTGAAAGATGCCTTAAAAGTAATCCCTAGTGATGGGCAAACCAGATGACGAAGCGAGAGCACCGAGCATAATCATTGGGTTACTGTGGGACCTACTGTAGCTGTCTGTTACTAATAAAAGGACAACTTAAGATTATTCTATACCAAAGCACACTTTACTATCAAGAGGTACGTATACATATTAAGCTCCGAACGAATGAACAGCTATGCAAAGCATTTAACTACAGATAAAACTGATGAAATGAAACAAGTTAAACGAAACTCGCACATGACACAGAAGATGAAAACGTCTTGACTTGTCTTACCTTCTCGACGGCAGACGCCTTGGTCTTGTCATCCATCCAGTCTATCTTAGCCAGGTTGAAGACGAAAGCTCGTCTGATGTCAACAGCAATCTCCCTCACCTACAGGCAAAACAGTCCCCCTAAGCAAGTATTCTGAGTAATTTTGTTCAGATTCGCTTTTAACACTAGGTCCATTATTAGTTGTCATATTTACCAAGATCCGTTTTACAGGTAGTATCCTACTAAGTAACTTTGGAGGGGTGTGTGATTTTAATTTTTGTACCTTTTCCTTGCTCTCCTTAGAGAAGGAGTCCTTGACAAACATGGCCCCCAGCGCCATGCCCATGTGTTCGTCCACCGCCTGTAAACACAGCCGCCATTCCTCAGTCACGCCGGCCGTCCCCTCAGCAACCTGGCAGCAAGGCAGCAAACTTTAGAGACAAGTGACAACCTTTACAACAAAAGTACGGCGACCCTCGTAAGGTCTACTATAACTAAACTGTACAGCGACTTTCGTAAGGTCTACTATAACTAAGCATACAAATAATGGGGTGAAGAAAATTCTGGTGAGCAAGCGGAAAGTACGTTTATTATTATTATATCATGAACTATGATGAAGTGACGTTCATGTTTAACCAGAGTTTTATAGAAGGAACGCAACTAGCTCTCGTCATGAGGCATTTTATTATATCTTCCGATTTCTACTTTAAATTTATGACTACAGATTGTTATCTTAGTGTGAAAGAACACGTGTCAAAACTGAGTATATTAGAATATATGGTCACGAAGACCATGAAGCCCTACAGTTTTATTGTATTGTATTTTATTATCATTATATACCACCGCCCTCTGCCGAAAGCTGCTTATTTATATGACTGTATACCCTCATCAAGTTTACTCTAAACCTATATCAATTGAAGACAACTGCAACGCAACTAGCCTGGTTACCAAAAATATAGCAATTTGCGGAGAGAATGTAGGACTCGGGAGCTATAAAAGATTTGGTAACCAGGCTACAACGCAACAGGGTATGTTCGGGGTATCGCCAATGATATATGTGAAAACAACCTTGTTGAAGTTCTCCAGCGCCTTCCTGAAGGGCTGACTGAGGTCCGTCACGAAACTGGCGGCAACCCGCCACAGGAGGTAGCTATTCAGCGTCCTGAAACAGGCGGGGTGGAAAATAAATGTATCTATATCAAACTGATTAGGTTACAGGAATCTAGCTTCCCACTGTTTATAGTATTCTGCACATATGCTTGATATGTCCATTGTAGACAGATTTAATACCCCTAACCCCTTTCATCAAGGCCAATGTAGAGACGTGATTATTTATCACATTTAATTCGTTTAGTTAAGATAGGAAATTCAATTCGAAAGCTGTGATAACTTGAACAACTGGCATGGGTTCCCTATCCAGTGAATTAATTAGTTAGTGACCCTCTATTTCATTAATTAATTAATTAATTAGAAAAAAGAAATTGGATCTGTATGTAGAGTACATAGCAAATAATGCAATACGTTTGAGACAATCATTATCACATTTGAAAGTAGTCATCATGTTTTTCAACTGAAATTAATTGTTTTTTGAAATAGAAAAATGAGATAAATAGCTGAAGCTCAATGTAGAAACGATTGCAAGCTGATCGACCCGTTCTGAGAGCTGCCATCGCGTGCCGGCCGGGTTTGTTGATGAAAGGCGGGAATTAAACTTTCGACCTTCGGTCTGGGATTTCCACAGTCATTGCCAAACCTGAGCTAGAAATAGTCCTGAACGTTTCATCTTACACAGAGAAGTGAAAACAGCTTATCTTTTTTTTTAATTCATGAGCTAAGTAGATGACAGTTCTCATCATAACAACTGAACAACGATAACGGTGCAAAAATTAGCTGCAATTTCTTTGCTTTTTGTTTTGTTTCTTCTCTTACAATACATGTGTGCTAAGTACAATACATGTATGCAAAAAATCAATCAATCCTGCATGCACATTCCTTCTTCATAATTTATTACAGACTGACTTGTTTTTAAGTGCAAATTGACAATAAACAATAAACAATGTTTGACGTGTTCACCACAGGCTATTAGGATATGGATACTCGCCCTTCCTTCCTTCCTTATCCCTTTTTTCTTTTGCTATTTTTCTTTCTTTTTTCTTCCTCGCTATTTTTTTCAATTGTTTGTAATGATTTTTAAAAATGTTTTGCCCACCTTGCCGGCGTGTCTGCGATGAGTTGTGAGATCTGCCCCAGGTAGTCGGTAGCGTACAGCACCACCCTCGCGGACGGCGTGAGGTCAGGAACCATGGCGTGGAAAAACGAACCCCAGTCGATCTGAAATGCAATGATATATCACTAGAAACTTTATTTGCAGGTTCGTTTTCTATGGATTACTACAAGTACGACATAGCAAACACGTGTGACAAGAACAGTGGTTGTGAGAATGTGTGACGAATTCAAATACCGATGATTGTAGCAAATTGACTACTTAGTAATTCATGTACTAATGCTAGCTATATTCGAGACAAGTTTTTTTTATCAATAGATATAAAATTGTTAGAACGGAAAACATAAAATTCATCTATCAACGGATTGAAAATGATGAGGTTTTGTTAATGAACGTTTACTGTATCTATTGCATAGACACGAGATTTTAGGTTTTTATCAGCTGAAAATGACTTAACATCGATATTTCCTTACAAGGCTAGGTCCTAGGATTAATTCATGATTTTAAGCCATGAGCTTGTCATCAGCTTTGAACTTTGTATCACGCTATCACCTACTTACTCAAGCACACTCACGTTGTCACTCATTGCTCATGATCAGTAACACCAAGGTATACAGATTATTGTATACATGTCAAAGAACGTTCACAGCATACATGTCATGTACAGTGTAGAGTGATATTGAAGTGGTACCTCACCATGGGTGCGATAGTTTTCAGCTCGTGAATCCGGACGTTGTTGTACAGCGCGTTGACGTTGGTTCGTTCAGACTCTGGAACTGTCAGCTGTTGGGCGAGTGATAGCATACTTGTAGCACATTAAATCCATGCTGAAAGCTTGTGGTATGAAAGTTTCTGACTAAGAAAAGGCATGCAAATATTTGTCAAAATAGTATGGTAGTTCACACAAAAATCCAATACACATGTTTTAACCTGTTCTATCTTTTATTGTTATGGTCGAAGAAGTCCAAGACGACTAATGCACTCATGGATTTTCTGAATAATGTCTCACAATGTCTCACCTACTTTCTACCATGAACCGCAATAGATCTGCTAAAACCAAGCTAGTTGATCAATAGATCAATTTAATGGGATAAGAAGTTTCCTTACCTCTGCCAGTTTGGTCTCGAAGTTGACCACATCTTGAGCAGAGTCCTGTGCCGATGCCGGGTCTGCCCCCAGCAGTTCCACAACCCGGGCTATCAGCTTTCTGTACGCATCAACTACCTGTGCGGCAATAGCAAGTAATGTGACCGAAAGTAGTGATTCACCACGCCTCTGTTTGATTATAAGGCCTACGACCTGTCCCTGCACATTTATACCTGTTGTATCTCGAAGACTATCGAAATCTACGCAGTATAAATCTTAATGCTTTGCTGTACGTATGGTCTTCTTAAGTTTTGTCTACCCAACATTCGAGTCATAAATATAAGTTGTAAGACATACTGTAACTTTTAAACCATGAGTGGGTAACATAGCATTTCTTTGAATCTGCCTCAAAAGACGGTCCCTTTCAATCAACTTTCGACCAAGTTGATCTGTTACGTTTGCCCTGGTCGTTTGTTGAATATTTGTTCATAAGCCTAGAATACTTAAAAGCTCAAGATAGGAAAAAGACACCAACCTTCAGTGACTCCTGGCTGATGTAGTAGCTCCTGTCAGGAAGCCCCAGCCCTCCCTGGTCAATCTGAAACGGTGTGTACCCAGCATCTAGTATATACCATTGACCTTTGCTGTGTCCTTACTCTGCCTGGTGATAACAAACGTTTCAATATAGATATAGAACATTGCCTATATTGGTAGGTTCCTTTTGCCGCCACATCTTTCTCAGAGCCTGCTGCGTTTTCTCCTCTATCAGCATGCTGTGGTATTTACCTGGGAGTTAACAGTGGTATCATCGATATATACAGCTTCGACGACACAGATATCGCTGCTGCTTGATATTGTGATTAACTGACAATCTCTCAATCTTAAGAAGCGTTCACTTACCCTGAAGACGTACTTGGACGAATCCTTATCGTCGAAGTTCACCCATAAAAAGAAGAGCGCGTCCACCTTGAGATCCAGGTGCAACCTCGTGAAAGTGTCGTTAAAGTTCCAAGTAGCCTCGCTCCAGTTCCCTAAGGCTGCCCAGCCTCCTAGCTGGTCCATCAGCTCCAGAAGAGGCCGTCCCGAAGCCTGTTCTCTGGCCTCCTTCTGCATGCACGACTGGAAGAAGTCCTTCGCCTTCCGCTCGTACGATTCCGTCGAGTTTCTCAAAGTCGGCGTCGCGAGGAGCCTCCTCAAGATCCTCTCGTTAGTTTCCCACATCTTGGAGTCGACCCCCCACTGCTTCTGCTCGGGAGGGATGGGGTTCTCTTGGAGCCAACCTCCGCACGAAAACTGGAAGAAGTCCTGGCAGGGATCGACCGTGGCGTCCATGTTGGATAGCAGAAGGGCTGCTGAGGTGATGCAGTCTGCCGTGAGACAGACGTGCCCGTCAGGGACGCCTCCTACCTCCTGAACCCCGCCTCGAGTCGCCAACATCACGCCGAAAATCACACAAACCGTCAGAGACAAGAACAAACACACCATCACGGCTGCTTCCCTGGGCCTGGGCGCGCGCGGCATCACGCACCGGACGGGTTCGGGGTGATTTAGCTCCGCTTCCTTCGCTTGCCGCGAGCCCTCGGCGTGCGGGTCCCCGTGCTTCACGTTGTTCACAGACGAAGCCATGCTTTGTGGCTATTTGATGAAGTCTTCCTTACTGACACCGGCTTTTACTGACGAGATTGATGGCTGCGGTTAGGCAAACGGTTTCCCCTGACTCCCGAGAGACAGATGGTCCGGGCACGGAGAGCAGAAGAGAAGAGAAGCCTGTACACAATCAAGATGACCTCGCTCATGACCTTGGAGATGATTCTGTATTCACACACTCTGACTTGTCCTACGATAGGCAGAATTATAAGAGAAAGAGTTAAAATTTTAAGTTCAAGAAAAATGACATTCAGAATGAAATCATCATTTTAACTCACGGAAAATTCGCCAAACTTTGAAAATTTCCTGCAGAAGGCCTGTAGATCTAAAAGCTTCCTCCGGAAAATAGAATCACGGATATCACCATGTTCCGATGGTGCATCAGCATTTCAGAATGGTTCCCAACATTGCGCTATGTATAGTATCGTGTTATTTCAAACATTGTAAGTTTGCCCCATGCATTGGGCTATGGACTGGCTACATCAAATGTAAGACACGTTTCCTGAAGAAAATCTATACAAATTGGTTCGAGTACAGCAATTTACTATATAAATTTGTATTCTTCTCACTTCTTTGTAATGATGGAAACGTATGGGGACACACGTTTACCTAAAATCGGTCGGTCAAAACGCACGAGGAATATAAATTCTTAATTGAGAAATCAATAAAGTCTATATATATCCCTCTGAGCAATGGATTTTCCTATTTAATGTGATCAGTCTTAATATTCTTATATGATGGTGATTATGATATGGATTACCATTATAAGCGGGGATCAATGAAGATATAAAATAGAATTTGACTACTGACTATCCTGAATAGCGTTAGTCAAGGGTCACACTATGATTACTGCAAATGCGGTAGTTTAGGCTACATAAATGTAGAAAATGAGTCTGGTCGTGTTGTAGTGATTTGGGAGGAAGCCAAATGATCTTGTTATCGGTAATGATGCTATGTGACGTTGTTTCCTAAGTACCTCTTTACATTAAAAGGGGGCTCAGGTGTACGCAGTGTATAGCAATAAGAAAGTAGTCGCCAATGTGACTTTTCTATCAGTTTGAATGGTGAATTGACCCCCTACATAAACATCACAGACTGTCTAGCTGCTAGCAACAAACACAGGGATAGATTAGCATAATACTAGTCAGTCTTTTTAATTACCGTCAGATTCAATACTTTCTCTATTGGTTTTCAAAGTAACATTATCAAATCATGTAGAATAACTCAATAATAGATAATCAAGATAGTATTATCTGGACCTTAAGGTTTTGCTCAAATCTTGTGCTCAACTGTCAACTTTCAGATCAGCCCTGAAAAAATTGTATGAAAGTATCTTAATGTAGATATCTTCCTCACATGTAGCTGAATTAGGTTTGATACCTATGTGTCTAGAACTATGTCTGTAATTGTGGTCTGTATGTGGTACTTCTTAGTATTATAAGAAACTAGGATATAACGGAAGTTCATTCGAACTGTGCCAATGCATGTATGTGTTACTGTATCCAATTTCCAGCCACTGCCGTATTACCCGTGTTGTTATTACTTAGTATTCTGCGGTAGGTAAAGCTTATCTGTTGTATATACACTTCAAAGTGTCTTGAAGAATACAGTTTCTTGGTCACTGTCTAACCTAGGCTTCTACCGATGTGATCACCATGCATGTCATTGGCAGACTGAAGTTAACGATAGCTGAATTTAATGGGTTTTTTATAGTACATTGCCTGGCGTCCTCCTTAAGTATATATCATAGCGTTGCTACTTAGCGATGAACATGATGCCTGATATAGAAATGACTAATGATAACTTTTGTTTGCATCATTTTTTACCAGAGACAGATTATTTATAACAACTATGTATCCCCAAATGATATTTTAATAGAATGTCACTTTGGTCCATCCTGTCAAACGACTTACTGTTACACCATTGCCACTGAGAATAAGGTTGTAAGACCAAACAATACGAACACCTATGTACACAAGGCCTCCGTCCTGGCAGATTACATAAACCACGCATCTCATCAGGTCAGTCTAACCGGAACCCCTAGTCTACTGAGGGGCTACACGATCAAAAAGGGAAGTCGACTTGCCTGTTTCACACACCCACGATGATCTGGACTGTCAGCATCTTGACTGTTGACGTTCATCAGATTACACCAATTACTCCAGTGGATGTCGTCAATACAGCTCCAAATTAACATGGACGGCGGAAAGGTCCACAGCCAGCGTCGTCAGTTCTATTCGTACATTCGGCAGCAATTTGCGTCCGGGACCCCGGCGTCACCTCGCCGCAACATTTGAAATTCTACTCGGCATTCCTGCTGCAATTATCCCCTATTACCATAGGGATGACCTGACCGATGGAAGCGTACAAAGCAGAGTGGAACCGAGCCGGAGAAAAGTCTCCGATGTTCTGTTTGATGTTCTTTTTTGATTCGGGCACATATCTGCTGATCAGGAGGACTCAGTGGTAGCGTCGGTAGTGCTCCGTGGTAGAATATGTCAATTATGTCGCTATGAGATGTTGCACTTTGGAGCTGTATTTTAACTGAAACAGCCGCGGCCATAGGTCTGTTTACAGATATGTAAGGGCCACAATTAACATCAGTGGTATGACGTGATGTATCAGTCATTGAACTCCACGGCAATGAACCTTTAGATACTTAACTTAATCTGGTATCTTATAAAGGAAGACAGTTTTGCAATTATATGTTAAACTTTGTGATAAGTTCGCTACCAGAGGTCGCTGAATATATTTCCCTGGAGCAGCCGTCTTTTGTAGACCTGTAAACTAAGCCAATATGGCGGAGAATACGCAACGAATACTGATAGCAACCTTTCATACCGTTTCCATTTTTATGGTGTCAATACGTATGATCATATCTGAACGTGTTATCTCGGAAATAAATTAGATTACAGTGCGGTAGTGTTTAATGTTTGCATGAGGTTGTTGCAGTACCTGTATATTCCGCTAGGAGGTCACGGAATATCAATGTAGTAGCTGAAGCTTTATTAGGTTGGGTTGGTTTAGCATATTGTGTTAGTATCAATTCCTACATAGTCCGCTGTTAGCTCGTGATCATTGCTCTCTGTGCCGTACATCGGATTCGTTCGGAGTTGGTTCGGAGAAAAACAGATGCCCATTGTACGTTCTATCGAACAAACTACCTTTCAGAAGCCCTGTGCCGTGTATACAACAAAGTACCCCAAACCAAGTCCAAGTTCGTGAATGAATGGGATATATTTGTAACCTTAACTATGCTATATTGTCATATTGTTAACAACTACGTATTTGACACAACTTCGAATATGACATATTATGATATAGTCTCAAACTATGACACAATATGGACTGGTAACCCAAGCTATGCCGTTGTAGCAAATACGACATATGACGTAGTAAGCCAAACTGCCATTTATATAATTGGCATGAATACTACGTAGTAATCCAAACTATATGTCATAGTCAAAACTGGGAATCTGAGAAAGACATTTACACAAAGAGTATTTATGGATATGTTAGTTCAGAACATATACACATATACCTATAAAAGTAAATTGGCAACAACAGTACAAGCATATCCCCAAGTGTTCCGTTTAGAATATCTATATAACGGTCTTTTGACCTGTTCTTTACACCCTTGTCCCAACCAAGAGCGGCAGACGCGCGTACGGGTTAAGTTCTTAAGTTTTGGCGGCTTTTATATTAAGAACAATGACAAAGGATCCATTACATTGAACTTCATTGAGTTTGGTAATGTCAACCACAAGTGTCCTTGAGACGTTATTCCCTTGTAAGACAGCAGTGACGCAGTTGGAAAGTTGCCTAAAATTGCCAAAAAAGTTGCCAAAGATCTTAAAAAAAGAAACCATGAACATGAAAGCAGTGATTGTGATCCTGGCAGTCCTGGTGCCTCTGATGCAGGCTTCGGGGGAGGTGATTAATGGAAAGTCTGGGAACGGCCCTGTCAACATTAACATCAACCTGCCTGGGTATAACCTGGGAGGAGGGGGCGCGTCAGCTGCCAGTCAGGTAGGTCTGTTCCCTGTCCTTACATTGCCCATTAACACTTCACTATATCTAGAATAAAATGCTTTTATATGAATTGCTTATTAAAAATAAAATACTTGCTTTTTTGCAGGAGACTCTTCTTGCTGAGTTGCAGGGCCAGGTGAGGGATATGGAACTGAAACTCATCACCATACCGAACTTGCAGAAGCAGAACGCTGAACTGACAGACAAACTCACTAAGCAGAACGCTCGTCTGACAGCCTTACAGGAGCAGCTCACGAACGTGACCAATGAGCTCTGGCTCCATAAGAAAGGTCAGTCTTTCAACATATGCTGTACAACGTAAGTTAACAGCAGAACAGCTAAATCTAGAGTAAAGGAATTAAAAAAAACTGCATCAGAGGAAACTAAATTACCCATGGCTTGGACTTTGCTAAAAGCACTGCTGGGGGTGGGGGGTATTTCATGACAGATACAGATACAAGATTTACATGTAAATGTACATGTTCAGTAGTTCTGTTTTGTCTATTTTTAAATAATTGTATATTGTAACTATGTTATAGATTTAGATGTTGTTTTGTGACCCCAGGGTCCACCGCTATAATGGTTATTCAAATAAAGTTTCAAAGTTCTCGGCAGCACGACTTATTTCGCCTCTACCCTGCAGCCTGCTGTAACAAGACGCTGGTCTGTCCCAGCGGCTATGTACGGCTCCTGGACAGGTGCTTCAGATTATCCACAGACAAGAAGAACTACACCGACGCCAGGTCCGCCTGTAAGGCTGCCGGCGAAAGTCTGGCTATGCCTAAAGACAAAGCAACAAACGATTTTCTGTATCAACAGTTCCAACATAAGTCCGTCCCTGCCGTCTGGCTTGGTTTGACAGACCTGGTAACAGGGGGAACTTGGGTGTGGGAGGACGGGACGCCACTCAGCTGGTCCAACTGGCTTTCTGGGCACCCTAATAATCATGACCCTAGAGATGATTGTGCTGCACTGCCATTTTTCCTTAACGGCAAGTGGTTTAGTGATCAGTGCCAACATCTGGTTTCGTTGAATTATATCTGTGAAGTGAGTGCTACTGTTTCCCCCTAGGCAAGCACAAAGTTGCAAACACTATAACGTCATAAAAGTTTGCAAATGTCGATTACAAATTGATTTACACTTACACACTTTCGTTGGTCAACTGTGTTGATGTGAGTATAACATTATTTTCAAGTTCCTGTTGAACTTCGAAGACATGAATGTTCTACTGCGTCTGTTAAATAAACGGTAAGCCGACCAAGCTATGACCTGGTACAAATCTACGAACATGTAAGATCAGTAAAAGTCGAACACTGAGGCATTTTCAAGAAACGGCTATAGCTCATGTAACTACATGTTGTACCCATGGCTTTAGTTGTCATATACATGCCGAACTGTAGTTAATAGAACTAAAACTCGACATCTATGTGTAACATTTGTGACACTATTTGATATGTTTTTTGTGCTACTTTTAAAGTGTGTTTGTTAATAAAAGTTAAGCGCTTGGCTCTTTCTTTCGGACATATTCAAGTTCCAGTTGAACTTCGAAGACATGAATGTTTATTGTGTGTTTGTGTGAAATAAACGGTAAGCCGACCACTATGACCTAGTACAAATGTACATGTAAGAGGAGCAAGAATTTAGTACATGTACCCGCTGGCTTTACTTGTGATATGCATGCTGCTGTGTAGTGAATAGATCGAAAATATGATCTATGTCACACTTGTGACACTACTCGATATGTTTATGTGCTACTTTTGAAGTGTGTTTGTTGAAAAGTAATAAAATGGTCCCAGCACTTGACTCTGTTTTTAACTTTATTTCTTTCGGACATAACCTACTGATGATTTGTAGCAACTTTTGCCGTAAATTAATATAAGCTGGATGCCCAGAACTACATTTTAGAAGCTCCCGTGGTCATAACCACGAAAATAACGTAACCCAAACTGGCCTATGACACAGGTACGAATATGACCGTAGTAACCCAAACTATGACATTTGCACACCTACGAATATGAAGTTAGTAACCCGTGAATAGGAAATAGTGCCGACATACGGTAAAAATACTCTCAAAGCAGAGGTTTGGGTTTTGGGTTATTTTGGCGTGTTTTAGACTTTCTTTATCGGGGTTTCTTTTTTTGCGTTGGATTTTTTTTCACCCAAAAAGAAGTCCAATGCAAAGAAGGAACCCTGATAAAAAAGCTAGAACACGCCAAAAATATTATTATCCAAAAACCCAAACATCTGCTTGGAGAGTAGGTAAGAAAGTGTTAGAGCTGGGTGGGAGCGGACGAAAGCCGCGAAACTGGTAAAAACATACAAGGTACTTAAGTATTATAATGGGTTCATTCACATTAACTAATCACAGCAAGGCATCTCGGTACCATGCCGTTTTGACGAGTTGAATCATGCGGTAATATTTGCATTTGCGCGCCGATACTGCTTCGAATGTGCGGCTGTTCAAAAAATTCACTCATCTTACGGTCGAATCGACTCTGTGCCGAATCGCGCGCTAGTTTCTGTCCCGCCGGGTCAAGTCAGGTGCAGGTCATGTGGTTGTTTCCAGTCCGGTTCGGTTCCTTGCAAGACGAAGACGTCTTTCCTTCTCCAAATTAGACCCTTCCCCGAATGACTGCCGTCTTTAGGTTGTTCTCAAGCGTCAAGCACCATGACTCAAGACATCTGAAGAAGTCTAACAAGACAGAGATGGCGGAACTCGAAGGAAACGCCGCTCCTAACGAGCGGACGCCGCTCGTGAACTACCGCCTCTCGCGGAGTCTGAGCTCCCCCGGGACCGCTTCTTTCGACAAAGAGCCGGCGCAACAAGAACCCGGCTCAAGGAAGCTGTCCACTTTCTTAGGCGTGGTGGTCCCCTGCACCCTGTCTATGTTCAGTGTCATTCTTTTTCTCCGTATGGGTGAGTAGAAAATTGACTTCCGTGTTGATTTATGACATTTCATAATCCCAGATGCACGATTGTTATGACTGCGAGGCCGGTCTTTGTTTACATTATAAAAAAAATTAACGGTATGACGTAATATTTGTTTGTGCGGACACAGGGCTAGAAATTTATTATTTGGGTGCACAACAAATTTTTTGGGTGCACCATATAAAATAAAATAAGTAGAATGTCAAAAAACTTAAATTACGTTCCATTTCCATTTAGATTTTTAGTATAATTTACAACAATGATTTTATTATTTTTCTGACACTTATGAAGTTATGTGTTAAGAATGTGCTGTATATACATGTAACTATACATTGTTACACAGTAAATGTTATACATAAACCCACGAAAATGTAAAAAATACTCTAGGTAAAAATATACGATTGATAGAGAAAAATGTGTTATTTGTTTGTTTTCGAAGATAATGATGAAAAAAAAATGAATTAAAGTAATATGTGGGTTGACTTCTCCGAGCTTTTCTAGCCTGGATCAGTTCACAGTCGAGTTACCAAGCACAAGTAATGACTAGACTGTTGAAATAACATTTGCATGACGTAACTTGTACCAACAGTAGAACAACTTGTAACGTGAGTCTCACATGTTTGTCCTGCTCTAGGGACAAATAAGAGATTGTTCACAAGGAACACACAGATTTAGACTAAGGGGCTCCCGTGTCTTCTGACACATGAGGCAGTAAGAATGTTCCAGCGAGTTTGGTCAATGGCCAGTCTCTAAACATCATTACATCAGGCCTCATAAATAAGGAAAAAAATGTTGTGTTCCCTTAAGCTTGCAGGGGTCCACTCAAAAAAGGCTAGGGTCGGCAGGTTTTTCTAAGGGTAGATCGGGAAACAGGAAACAAATTTTTTTTGGAAGGCCTCACGGGAAGTTCATATTTAAAGAACAGGAACAGGGATTTACAAAGAACAGGAAGGTGCTAATTTATGCCTACAATATTATAACTAAACTGTTCTCCAACCCAAAAGAATTTGATTCACCGAAATTTCCTACTGAATCTCTTTTAAGAGGTTCAGTGGGAAATTCCAGTGAATCAAAAAGCAGTCTTCCTCAGCTATCTGACCCAAGAGCTGTAGACATGTGAATTTTCCCTACATGTATAATGTCACACTGGGTCTGACTCTGAACTAACTTTATCCAGCCTATTCTGTGTATATAAAACATATTGTTACATGTTGTGTTTCAGTAGTGACTTTGAATTGGTTTCTTGCAGGTTTCTTAATTGGTCAGGCAGGACTCCTAGTGGGCATAGCTCAGTTCTTCCTGGCATACTGTATCATCGGTCTGACTATCCTGTCTGTCTGTGCCATCTCTACCAATGGAGCCATCGAGGGGGGAGGGGCATACTGTATCCTTACAGATTTTAAACTTTTTTTTAAAATCTGTGGCATGAAGACTAAGTAATTTCTTCAGGTAAATGAATTACTAAATAGCAAACTTCTTTATTCACAACCACTTGTTTAACAGGAGCCAATGTTTCTGTTATCTTCATCAGGACAATTATGTTAATAAATAAATCACATCATATATTTACCTTACTATTGTTGCAACAATATACATACAGGCCTTGGATATTGCTAAAATTTAAAATACACATATTTACAATGAATGTATAAAGCACTACTACTGGTACCATGTGTAATTAATTGTTAATTTTATGTTGGAATGGGCCCTTCTTAGATTCCCATTCTGATCTAAAAACTTGACCTGATTTGGGATTCAAATTTATCATCATGAGGTCTATTATGATAGACATGGTTGGTACATGTAGGTCATTGATAGGTACACTTGTGTACTTTTTAAGTAAGCTGCAGATATTGAATTTAGTCTTTTTGAAACACTGTACTCAATACCTCAGCTTCTTGCCCAGTTTCCTCCATGTGAGTTCCTTGATAATTACCAGTCATGATCAGCCGTACGTTAGGCCCAGAGTTTGGAGGCAGTGTTGGGGTTCTGTTCTACTTTGCCAACATTTTCTCCTCTGCCCTGTACACACTGGGTCTGGTGGAGGCTCTGCTGGGGAACTTTGGTGTGGAAGGTAAGTGGAAAATAGACACATCAAAATTCTATATTATTTCATAACTATCTACATACTACCAGCTGGATGGGGACAACTAACATAAGACAGAACTTGTAGTTTTCTCACACAGTAACTATTTATAACTCTTGCATTGCCTAATGTATCTAATTGTTTTATGACACCATATATGATGATTTACAGATAGTTCAGTGACTCGTGACCTATGACATGATGGTGACCTATGTTATGTATGATGGTGTACTGAGTGAGGGTCTTCATATATGCATGTATGGCTACTGTCTGTGCCCTTTAACCTGTAGGTCAGAGGTTAAAGGTGAATGATGTTTATCATGAAAGTTCATCTGTGTTGGTAGTAATCATAGTAAAACATTGATTGAACTTTATTTCAACACAAGGGTTTGGTCATTGATGATTGGTCATTAATTATCCTGATGAAGGCGACAGTGGTCGTCGAAAATTTGATCGCTCTGTAACCCTTGTGTTGGAATAAAGTTCAATGTTTTACTGTGAATGATGTTTATATTACAGACGGTTCCCTGGCCCAGTCCCTGCCCGCAGGTCGGTGGTGGTCCTTCCTGTACAGTATAATGTTCACACCCTTTAACCTGTAGTCCAGAGGTTAAAGGTAAATGATGTTTATATTACAGATGGTTCGCTGGCCCAGTCCCTGCCAGCGGGTCGGTGGTGGTCCTTCCTGTATGGTAATGTCCACACCCTTTAACCTGTAGGTCAGAGTTTAAAGTTGAATGATGTTTATATTATAGATGGTTCCCTGGCCCAGTCCCTGCCGGCGGGTCGGTGGTGGTCCTTCCTGTATGGTATAATGTCCACACCCTTTAACCTGTAGGTCAGAAGTGAAAGGTGAATGATGTTTATATTACAGATGGTTCCCTGGCCCAGTCCCTGCCGGCGGGTCGGTGGTGGTCCTTCCTGTACGGCACACTGTTCCTGCTTTTCAACCTGGTGGTATGTCTGGTCGGGGCACAGATGTTCGCACGGACGTCACTCGTCATCTTCTGTGTCGTGCAGGGTACGGTTTGTTTGTTCTATATAGTTCATGTATTGGCCACACCAAACCCTGGTTCTCTGACATTTAAGGATTCCGGGCTCCAATCTACAGTAACTAACCTTTTGAAAAGGATCACCGCTGTTTCCAAAGCAAAAGATATGAGTGCACCAATAAAAATCTAGGCTCACAACTACATAAGCAGGTAGATCATGATTGTATTGAACATTGATTTGGACATTGCACAAATATGGCATTTTTTTTGTACATAGAAATGCGTAGAGTGGAAGTACAATGTATCATGATCGGAAAGGAAGAAAGCAAGTATACAGTCATGACATGAGATCACATGACTGTTATGCTTTGCAGTCTTTGATATAGTCATCGTAATGCATGCAAGTTCTGTCAGGGGCTTTTTTGGTCACTAGGGCCACTAGGAGCTCACTTTGTGCAATACGTTATTGCCATACGTTATTGTACATTTTTGTTACCCAATACAGTCATTATAATTGTTGTTTGTCATCTTCTAGTTGCCATTGTGAGTGTGTTCATCAGTTTTGGGGTGGAGAACAAACCCATGAACATCAGCCTCATACACCACATACCAGATCACGGGAGCAATGATACCATCACCCAGGCCCTATACACCGGATTCAACGTGGAGACAGCCAGGCAAAACCTCTGGCGTAAGTCCTTAAAGATAATTAAGCAAAACATTAACTTAAGACTAAACTCACAAACAAACCATTGGCCACTTCTACACAGCACTGAACATGAAGACAGTAATTAAGACCTACTAGTAAAATGTTGAACTGCTTTATTCCAACACAATCTGTAATATACACAATTTACAGAGAGATTAAATTTTCAGCTACCACTGTCTCCTTCATCAGGATAAGTAATGACCAATCTCTCACAACGTGATCTCTCGAGAGTTACGGTTACAAATACGTGACCTTATTCACACAAGACTTTACTGATACGTGACGTGAGCAAATGATCAAAAGTGCCACTGAAAATTTGATCTCTCTGTAAATTGTGTGTTGGAATAAAGTTCAACGTTTTACTATGTTAACTACCTGTTAACACAGGTGAACTTTCAAGAGCAGTGAAAACATCTTGCATGAGCTCTTTAATCAATACAATGTATACATACCATATATTATGTAACTCAGTATTAAGAATGAAATAATGTATTTTTATTGATATACGTACTTAATCCTTTAGTTTTAGTCATTTGTAAAATTTGTAGCACTATAGTTGTATTCCCAGCTCAATCCAGTGTATGTGTAGCACACACTGTGAGACTGTAAAAGTTTTATGTGGGAAATAGGTAAACCAATCACTACTACTACCATTTCTAAGCAACTTAAATATCTAAGGGACCACCAAACTTAGCCCCATTGGCCATGTGGTCCTTTTGTAGAAATAATCATGGATTTGTATACTTTTTCACCATTTTGAACATGTACACATCTTGCAAACATAACAGTTTTAAAAAAAAGTGTTTGTTTTTGCCCCCCCTTCCCAGCGGAGTTTGGGACAGACTACAGCACGGGCACCATCATGAACTTTGCCACAGTGTTTGCCATCATGTTTAACGGCTGTACAGGCATCATGGCTGGAGCCAACATGTCAGGTAAACTAAAGCGTCGGTCACAACCCGCCGTGCGTGCTTTTTGTCCATACGTTTTACAGTAAGGAGGCCATATTCACACGTGCTGCTTACGTATGGTACGTACAGGGCATGTGTGTCGCCCGTACCCGCATGTACGGGTGGTGAATCCGCAGACCGTACGCAGAAAAAGTTTTACATGCACTTCTACAGCATGCCTGCGTGCTCCCAAATCTGTAGGATTATGTTCGGGGGCGGTTCTCCCCACTTACGGATCCCCTATGTTTGCCCAATGGCATGTTTTTGCCCGTAGTTGCACGTACGGCGGGTTGTGACCAACGCTTAACACATGGTCTGGTTTAGAATACCTTCAGAGCTTTAGTTTGAATGATTTATCTCTTAATAGTGCACACCCCAGTTCTTCTCTGACCGGGGTCCTTGGTGAAAAAGTGACAAAACGGTTTTGAGTGTTCAAGTTTGAGGTCACATTTTTCTTAAACTGCGGTGAAATGATATCAGATACCAACATGGTTGAAAAGTGTAACCTTTATTTGAACTGGAAAGCCCTGTCTGCCTTGGCCACTCTTCCCAGAGGTCCAGTTGTGGGGTCGGTTCACAGAAACATAGAAAAAAAATTAATTAATACAAAAATACATCAGGTTACCCCAGAAATTGGGAGTTCAAACCTCAGTAAAAACGTACTCAGAAAGTTAGCACTATATTGTAGCTCTGCAAAGTGTGACAACAATGTTGTAGCTCTGTAAAGCGTAACACGACAATTTTCTGCATACAGGTGATCTGAAAAACCCCAGCAGATCCATCCCTATCGGCACCATCGCTGCAGTGCTGGCTACCTTCGTGGTGTACCTGCTGCTCTGTATATTTGTGGCCTTCACATGCCAAAGGTAAGAACTCCACGTTTCAGCTTAAAAATTCTTGCTCTAAATATTTAGACAACCATTTTGCTTAGCTTTGGGTTTATGATTTAAGGATGTTAAACTTCATTTTAAGTCTACCAACACTGGAATAAAAGGGGACTTTATCCCAAATTTGGGAAGAAGTTCAATTCGGGGTATGTCCCAATTCATTCAAGTGTTGGCCTTGAAAAGTTCACTCCATAATGTCTGTTACCAACACAATATAAACTTAAGTGCTGAAATTGATGAGGCCACGGGTTCAATTCCCTGAGTAAGGCACTTAACATGTCTTTTTTTATTACTTCACCCAGGTGTAAAATGGGTATACCAGACTTCAGTTGTGAGGTAAAAGTCTTTGGAAGAGAGGGATGGGCTCTGCCTTTGAATACCGAATACTAGACACAGTGGATTGGTTTAGAGCCACTGCCCATACGGCCTGAAAAAGACTTAGGGATTACCTTTACCTAATTCATAATTTAACTCTGACTGGTGCAATTGCTCATTTGGTAGAGTGCTCGCTTTGTAACCGGGAGGTCGTGAGTTCAAACCCCGGCCGGGTCATACTTTATGACTTTAAAAATGATACACACTTCTATCTCTGCTTAGCACTCAACACATATGAGAAAGAGTATCGGAAGGTCAAACACACAGCACTACCAGTGGACTAGCCCCTTGCTGTAGTGCCCTGCACAACTGTGTGTCGCCCAAGGGCTACAGAAATGGATATTGGCACTACCCTACGCTCTGCATAAGGGCATGGGAGACCTTTCTTTCTAATTCATAATTTGCCTCTTACGAGTGCTGAACTGAGTCCTCTTTCCTTCCACAGAGAGCTGCTGCAGAATAACTACATGGTTCTACAGTATATCAACATGTGGGCACCCTTACCTGTGATAGGTCTGTACTCAGCCACTCTGTCTGCTGCTCTCAGCTGTCTCATCGGTGCTTCCAGGATCCTGGAGGCCTTGTCTAGGGACAAGCTCTTCGGTAGGTGACAAAAAAATAATGGTGTGGCATCAGATAGTTTGTTTCATGTTCACAGATGTCGTGAACATGTGAGAATCATGTGAACATCATGTGAACACCATGTGATATTGTGAACATCAAGTGAAAACCATATGTGATATTGTGAACATCATGTGAACACCTTGTGATATTGTGAACATCATGTGAACATCATGTGATATTGTGAACATCATGTGAACACTATATGATATTGTGAACATCATGTGAACACTGTGATATTGTGAACATCATGTGAACACCATGTGATATTGTGAACATCTTGTGAACACCATGCGATATTGTGAACATCATGTGAACACCAAGCGATATTGTGAACATCATGTGAACACCAAGCGATATTGTGAACATCATGTGAACACCATGTGACATTGTGAACATCATGTGAACACCATGTGACATTGTGAACATCATGTGATTGTTGCAGGAGGTGTCCTTCGTCTGCTGACCATCACCAATCGCAGTGGGAATCCATACGTGGCTGTGTTTGTCTCCTGGTTCCTGGTGCAGGTAAATTAGCAGAACTATTTCACACTGCGTCCGTCTTTCTGTCGTTTGACAGAATTTTGCCACTGCATGGCTTACAAATTTTGCTTAACCCGTCATCTTTGATGGACAAAAATTGGCGTGTAATGATATGGAAAGAGATGTCTTGAAACTTGCCCCTCAAAATGCAGAAAATGGCGTTTCAGGAAGTCAAGACTTCTACATTTTCCTGGGGAGCAAGACCAAGGACTCCCCTAGGGCTGTCGTGCCTTTTACACTGAGTAGAAGGCTGACTACAACATTGCTTAATTGTGAACCTTATAGTGTTAAAGGTTCCGGGTTTAGATGTTATGTTTTTCAGCGTACTAACAGCCGTTCTGTCCCCTGCAGCTGATCCTGTTGATACAGCAGGTGAATGCCCTGGCCCCCATCGTGTCTCTCCTCTTCATCCTGTGTTACGCTGCCGTGAACATCGCCTGTCTGGCACTGGAGTGGGCATCCGCTCCCAACTTCAGGTGGGCCATGTCGTCTTGTTTGGTCTTTTATTATAAGTTTTGTAATAAGTTTTATGACACACTTGGTATGTATATGGTACTTATGGTACTTTGTTTATTCCTTGTTTATTTGTTTGCTTGTTTAGACCAATGTTTGTTTGATCTAAACTTTATTGCTTGTTTGTTTTTGTTTGTTTAGACCAATGTTTACTTCACCTATCAAACTTTATTGTTTCTTTGTTTAGACTTCACATTGCATACTTACCTGCTGTTTGTTCACTGTTTGTTTGATCTAAACTTTATTGCTTGTTTGATTTTGTTTGTTTACACCAATGTTTATTTCACCTATCAAACTTTATTGTTTCTTTGTTTAGACTTCACATTGCACACTTACCTGCTGTTTGTTTACTGTTTGCTTGTTCAGACCAATGTTTAAGTACTTCACCTTGCACACTTACCTGCTGTTTGTTAATTGCTTGTTTGTTTGTTTGTTTGTTTGTTTAGACCAATGTTTAAGTACTTCACCTGGCACACCTGTCTGCTGGGAGCCGTCAGCTGTCTGGTGATGATGTTCCTGATCGACCCGATGTACGCGGCCATCGCTATCGCCTGCGTGGCGGTCCTCGTCCTGGTGATCCACTACATGTCACCTGACTCCTCCTGGGGCTCCATCACACAGGCCCTCATCTTCCACCAGGTCTGTATCATGTGACTGTCATGTGAACATCATGTGACTGTCATGTGAACATCATGTGCCCGTCATGTGAACATCATGTGACTGTCATGTGAACATCATGTGACTGTGATGTGAACATCATGTGACTGTGATGTGAACATCGTGTGACTGTCATGTGAACATCATGTGAACATCGTGTGACATGTGAACATCATGTGACTGTCATGTGAACATCATGTGACCATCATGTGAACATCATGTGACCGTCATGTGAACATCATGTGACCGTCATGTGAACATCATGTGCCTGTCATGTGAACATTATGTGACTGTCATGTGAACATCATGTGACTGGCATGTGAACATCATGTGAAGATCATGTGACTGTCATGTGAACATCATTTGACCGTTATGTGAACATCATATGACTGTCATGTGAACATCGTATGACTGTCATGTGAACATCATGTGACTGTCATGTGAACATCATGTGACTGGCATGTGAACATCATGTTCCCGTCATGTGCACATCACTTTGACCAGTATGTGAATGTGATGTTTCTTCCCTTATGTCAATCAATACCTCTTACTGTCAGATATTTGAAAGTGACCATGAAAAGAAGTTGTGGTGGTCTCAGATGCTATATGCTTGAGGCAGTCATCATGTGAATACCAATTGTGTTTATCATGTTCCTGTCATGTGTTTACCCATAGGTCCGTAAGTACCTGCTCCTGCTGGACATCAGAAAGGACCACATCAAGTACTGGCGGCCGCAGATGCTGCTGCTGGTCAACAACCCACGATCCTGCTGCCAGGTGAATATCATCATTGTGATTTACATGTCAACTATTGTGGGGTGGAGCTCATTGCCACCAAGTACAGCAGGGGCACCATCACTAGATAGCTTTAAACAACTCTTACAGTTAGAATTGTGCAAAGGTTGTGTGTGATGGGTCTTTCAGTATAATATTAACCAACAGTTGCTGCTGCAAAGTGTGCCTGAAAAGCTGACCAGTGTGTTATACAAATGAAATTTTTCAACACAACAAATGGCAAGATGGTCTGAAAGCCTGCTTCAGTCCTTTCCCTGTCACTTGGTAAGAGTATGAACACCATGTGAGCATCACGTGAACACCATGTGACTACAATGTGAACACCATGTGACTACAATGTGAACACCATGTGACTACAATGTGAACACCATGTGACTATCATGTGAACACCACGTGTCTATCATGTGAACACGATGTGACTATCATGTGAACACCATGTGACTATCATGTGACCACCATGTAAATGTTGTGTCCCTGCCAAGATCATCTCCTTCACCAATGACCTGAAGAAGGGTGGGCTGTTTGTGGTGGGTCATGTGGAGGTCGGCAGTCTGTGTGAGCAGCCGTACGACCCCATGCAGCGCCAGACAACCTTCTGGATGGACCTGGTCGACAACCTAAAGGTTTGTTTAAGGATACTTAATGTATACGTACAGTTTTGCAATTAATTTATAAAGAATCTAAATGCTATGTTTGCTGATATTATGAAACTTATTAGTCGAATAGTATGTCATGTGACTATCATGTGAATAGCATGTGAAAATCATGTTTGGCAGGTGATGATCATGTGACTTTCAAGTAAACAGCATGTGACTATCATGTGAACAGCATGTGACTATCATGTGAACAGCATGTGACAATCATGTGAACAGCATGTGCCTATCATGTGAACAGCATGTGACAGTCATGGGAATATGATCTGCCAACCCCAGGTGAAAGCGTTTGTGGAGCTGACCCTGTGCCCCACAGTGCAGCTGGGAGTGGAAAACCTGATGAGAATATCAGGACTGGGAGGCATGAAACCAAACACTGTCATGATGGGTAGGATGTCACATCTTTATTACGTTTGAACATCATGTGAAAATTATTGTCATTGCCTTGAGTATGTGTCAATTCTGGGAGAGAGCTTTTAAGTAACAATGGGTTAGATGTATCATCTTTTGATTGAAAGCTTCTTCACGCCAATGTTAGAGGCAGCACACTGGCAAGTTTGATGGACGTTTTCAAGAATATGGAAAAAAGGCTGTAAACAGATAAAGAGAACTGGCTGCCTTAACATTTTGTTTGTTTGTTTGTTTGTTTTGCATAACTAGTGAACTGCCTTTTTAGGCTTAACACATCAGTTTTGTACATTATTGTTTTGTTGATGATTGACAGCCTCCCATGTACATCTACTGTTTGTTTATCAGGTTTCTATGACAACTGTGCTCAGGAGGACACCTTCGTGTCGATGGAGGTCTTTAAGGAGCCGAAGGAGAGGCGGGTACAGTTTGCTGACGAGGAGTACGGCAAGATGGGGGAGGCATTTCCTCCACTGAGAAAGGTTGGATGGAATCCTTTCATTCCATAGAACTCGATCAGTGATACAAATGTAAATTATTTAAGTGTCAGATAGTTTTAAAAATTTACTCACTTTAAGCAAAACTTGTGATTCCGCTTTGTGTTTTTTTTACCTAGTATAAACCTTTACTTCTGAGAGTGCATGAGTAACTGCAATGGCTTTCTTCTGTATGTTGTGTGGTCTCCTGATGTAAGAAAACCAGTGGCTGTCTTTTTGATTTCATAGGCTAAAGTGTGTACATCTCATAGAGTACTACGCATGTATTTGGGATGGTAGTATCTAAATACTCACTCTCACTCGCTCACTCACTCACTCACTCACTCACTCACTCACTCACTCACTCACTCACTCACTCACTCACTCACTCACTCACTCACTCACTCACTCACTCACTCAAACAGACCTATACAAACATATATAGTATTATATACTGATTATTGATGCCGGTATGTTTAGAATCACAGTTTGTCGTTCTTCCAGTTGCAGGATGAGAAAGTGCTGAACCTGTCGGAGTACGTGGCCATCATCAGTGATGCCATCAAACTCACCAAGAACGTCTGCCTGCTGAGGTATGTTACTCTTTCATTTGCAAGATAATCAAAGTTTAATCAGTCTAGATTTTACTAGAAGTACTAGAACTTAGTTTTTAGTACTTATAGATACAGTTAGTAGCATGGACTATGTACTGGCCACTAATTTGTGGGAGTGACCATTACATCATACAAGATAATTTGTAACCCTAGTGTCACATTATTGTTATGTCACAGAAGCCACCTATTGTACAGCAAATCACAAAGTATGGGGGGGGGGTACTGTAAATCAACTGATTTTTGAAGTAGGAGGGGCAAGGAGATTATCTTTAATGTTTTGCGGTCAAAATAATTCTGTAGTACAGTAAAAATACACAACCAATGTCACTGCATAAATCTCGATAATAAAACTACTGCAAACATTTCAAGATATCGAGTGTTATGAGCCTGAACAAACTGCATGAATGATAAGTTATTCCACATACAGGTACTTCCACCAGATGGATCGTGCTGACCTGTTCTCCTGGAAGCAGACCAAGTACATCGATGTCTGGCCTGTCAACATGATGAAACCGGAGATGGCCAGCTACTTTGACGTGACGTGTTTCTTCCTGCTGCAGCTGGCCTGTATTCTCAACATGGTGCCGCATTGGAGAAAGGTACGTGGGGGACTGCCAGGAAGTTAAAATTCTCCAAATAATGATAGGAGTACTCACCTACATACTTAGCCCCTCCAGCAGTTGTTAGGGGGACAGTTGTCTATAGTTGTTTATGGAGAATTGCTAGCCTGGGTGCCATCCGAATTTGTAACGGCTCCCCCGAAAAAATCGGGGGAGCCGTTGCAAATTCGGATGGTACCCAGGCTAGAGAATTGCCTCCAGAATTGCCTTAATATATTTGTACATTGAAGTGTTACCACTTGCTCTTCTATGTCAATTTGCCCTTTATTTACAATGACGATGACATTGAATACGGCATATTCATGCCCAATTGGGGCTAAATGCAGTAAGTTAATAGGTACAAATAAGTAATAGGGAAACTATCCTATATTTTTCTATTATTTTACAAGCTTCTTTGCTCATCTTGAGACATCTGTACACATGTATAAGGCAGTTTTTTCATTACATCGTATACGTAGTTAACTGATGATATTATTCATAAGTACATTTTAACATTCCTTTGTTTCTTTAGTGTGTTTTAAGGGGCCTTTAGCCTGGGATCTACGGCAAGTTTTTAAAAGAATTCTTTTGCAATCAGCTCTTCAAAGCAACAGAATTCAGCTTTGAAAAACTGAATATAGCAGCAAGCTTTAGACAACAACAAAGTTTGTAAACTGATATTCTTTCAGATTGGTTAAGTTTGATTACCACCACACTTAGATTCAAAAGTTCTGAAATATGCTGACTTTGTTGTCATAATAGTCAGTTATTACTATCTGTCCCTGTGTTGCCATGGCAACAGCTCTTGGCCCTTTCATATCTGTAGTGATGTGCTTGAGGAATTTTCCTGTCTTGTCAAACATCTCCACACGGCTGTTTCTCATGTCTGCCACGATGATGTTTGCTGCCCTGTCTATACAGATGCCTCTGGGACTGTTCAGCTGACCGGTACCACTTCCCTCACCTCCAAACTGGAACAAAAACTGTCCGTCCTCATTGTACACATAGACACAGTTATTGCCCCAATCTGACACAAGAATGTTCCCCTCCCCATCCACAGTGATGTACTGTGGGTGCTCCATTCCCTGCTGCCGACCCACAGTTCCCACAAGTGTTCCATCTGGCCTGAACACCTGCACTTCACCTTGTGGGCACCAGTCTCCAGTGGTATGTGTGATGAGGATGTGGTTCCTTGTTGTGTCCACGGCAACTCCCCTCACCCACCCTGACGTCTGTAGATCAAACTTTCTCAACACCCTGCCCTGTTTGCTGTACTGCACAGCAAAGTCAGAGTTTAATGTACCCCCCACCACCCACAGGTTTCCCTTCCCGTCCATGGCCACATCATTTGGGCCCATTTTCTGTTCCTCTGACACGACTGTTGGGAACTGGCCAATAAACGTTCCCTGCAGGGTGAAGCCTTGGATCCTCTGGTTCCGATAGTCTGCTACAATGACCACCCCTTCATCTGACACTGTAACACTGCATGGATCCATGAACTGTCCTGTTTCTGATCCCTCTCCACCGAATGTCATCTTCTGAGGCTGATGACCTGTGCCCCTTGCTGCATATTCAATACTAGATGCAGGTGCTGCTAGGATTGGTGCAGATGGGAGAGACTGGGCCATCACATGTCCCAGTACTGGCACAGGGGTGTCTGTTGGCTGAAAGACAGCAGGCTGGGTTTGTACAGGAGTTGGTGTGGCTTTTTGTCTGTACTTTCCCACCACGTCTTTCAAAGTGGTTTGCAGAATGAAAAACTCCTCCAATCCCTGCTGCAGTTCTTGTTCTGCTTGATCACAGGCAGCAGACAGTTCATTGATATCTGCCAACACTGTCTCCCTTTCAATCTGTATTCTGAGCAAGTTTTTGGTGTGGTTTTCGTCTAATTCAGCCAAGAGGTGGTCTCTTCGCTTTATGAGTTTCTCTACCATTTGGTTGTAGGCCTGAATGATGCTGCTGTCTGTCTGCTTCTTCTTTTCATCCAAGTTTTTCTCTTCTTCCCTCAGACTTCTAAGGAAGCTTAAGTAACTTTCCATGATGTTTCTTCCCTCATTGATCAAGGGCTGGATTGTTAAACTTGTTTCCTCTGTAGCTTTTTTTATGGATGTTGTGCGATGATCATTATGACCCATTTCTAAGCACTGATCGCAAACTCGTACCTGGCATTGTGTACAGTACACTTTGAACTCTTCAGAGGGGTGAAAGCTGCACCTGTTTCCAGACTGGGGTTGTTCTGTTGTTTCCCCTGACAATTGCCGTTTGAGTCTCTCACACATATTGGCTATGATGTGACCATCTGGCAAACCTGTGACCCCTTGATGTGGCAGCCTGCTCTGCCGACGACAGATTGGGCACTGGAAAGTTTCTTTCCTCCCTGTATGGCCCCATGCTCCCTGTAGACAGACCTGACAGAAGATATGTCCACAAAGCAATACCTTGGGCCTGGTGAACAGCTCCAGGCAGATGCCACAAGTCAGTTCTGTCTTGAATTGTGTCCTCAAATTTGATGGTGCAGTCGCCATTTTGCTGTGCTTTTCAAACCTCTGGCGTCTGAGCCATCTAGAGTTACCGTTCTGCTCCTCACCTGAATGGCATTTGTTTTCAGGGGTTTTGTTGACTCTGGTCTGACTGATTGATATGCAAATAAGTGAGGTCATTTTTTGAAAGTCCAAGTCAAGGATAAGTCAAGACAAGGATGATGCAAATTAGTCAAATATGGAGCTTGAAATATCTGGGTTGTACAATTACTGTGCTGTTTTTGTAAATACAATGATATTTGATATTTTGTATACTGTAAGTTCAGTTATGATCGCAGGGGATAAATTTCGCGTTAGGAAAGGAAAGAATTATTTTGCGATGTTTAAAGTTCACGGTTGAAACAATACCTAAGCACGGGAGTACATTTACAGTGGCGTCAGTGCCTTTACACTTGGTTGAAATATGCCTCTTATTGTGGCATTGTATTATATATACAGTATATTGTATGGTACACAATTTTGGCCTGTATGCCGCTATCGATGCATGTCTTCCACTTTTGTCTAAATGTCTCATTTGAAATGCAGGACAGCGCAGTTCTTGTTGTGGAAACATCGGAGAAGAAGGATCAAACAGCGTGTTTATAGTAAAGCAAGTGCATTGTGTAATTTCATCTGGGTTTACCAGTAAACAAACGTCCGTGCCAGGTGTGCATTCCACTGCCACCATCGCAGCCGGTATAAACAATGACAATGATGTTCACTAGTATTTGCACATTCATGCCCATGAGGGCTAGGCGCCAAAAGACTGGTTTTCCAGCTGTTGTACTTCATAAAACAGATCACATTCGCGATCTCATGACTTCGCGATGGAGTGGTCATCGTGAATACCGCGAAAATAAAACCACCACGATCATTTCAAGATTTACAGTATATGATATTTGACATTTTGTCAATATCAATGCCATTCAGGCAACATTGTATGCCATGTTTGTCTGTTACGTTTGGTATCCTAATAAAGAATTGAAAGAAATTAAAATAGGTCCTTATGTTGTAGAACAGCTTAGCTGAAATGTAGTCTGTCATTGCGGCTTGGTTCAAGTGCCCGAGACTACTACCCGTAGCCCCCCTTCCCTGTTGAGGGTGGGGTTGTACATTCTTTCATATATTGCCTCTCTAACTCCTTGTTCCCACCAGCATGTTTTGCGGTCCAAGATATCCGTGGACTCAAGTTTGAAAAAGTGTCCCTGGTTGTGTTGTAGGTGATTGAAAATGGCTGAGGAGTAGCTGCCAGATTCTTCTATAATTTCTTTCTGAACAATTACAACGTGTGAACTGTGTTTTATAATCTCCTTTGGATTGAACAGTACTAAGACTTAGTCTTCCAAAATGGTTCCTACAAGGTTCGTTTTAGACTTGTCCGTGTATTTTTATAGTTAGTGTGACATTTGTGTTTTTTTCCAGGTGACGCGTCTGCGTGTATTCCTGTGTGTGGAGGGAGGGGATAACAACGAGCCAGGCACCAGACGGAGAGAGGCCAAGCTTAAAGAACTTCTCACACAGCTTCGCATTCAGGCCGACATCAACATCATCAACTGGGAACATGTCATCTGTCTGCGGGGCCATCCGGAGGTACGTTATGACTATGAGGATAGATTTTGATTAAAATTGTAACATTTCATGCAATACACGTGGGACACAGGCAGCTGTTGCTGGCATTGTGTCCCACACATAAAACAAATACAGGACAGTCAGACAATACTCATTTTCACTTGAGTTAAGCAAGGAAAGTTGTGTAAAGTGCCTTTCCCAAGGACACAAGATCGGTGGCATGTCAGGACTCGAACCCAGAACCTCTTGGTTCTGAGTCAGGCACACGACCCCATGATAGATTGTAGCAGCAGAACACTGTGGTTCTGCTGCTACAATTTTAAAGCAGGCATTTTAAAGGGGCATTATGTAACATTTTGCACCAAAAATTGAAATATTTTATCTAAAAAAATATTTGATTGAAATTTACTTCCACATTTCATGGTTGGCACTACAAGGCCCACAAGCGGTTACACCCATTTTTTGGTACCACCACAAAATAACATTTTTGGCACCACCACAAAATACCAAGCTCTTAAATAAACATGGCCGACATAGTAAAGATTTGGGTACACATGTAATGACCTTGACCCTGTTCTCTCCTGCAGGGAGCCGCCCTCACGGACGAGGCGCCTGTTGCCATGGCGATTACAGAGGAGTACCTACGCGCGATGAACGAGCTCATCAAGCAGCAGTCCCAGAACACGGCCGTCAACTTCCTCTACCTGACCCGCCCACCGGTCGACACCAGTCGCTACCCAGAATACCTTAGCAGATATGACCTTTTGACCCATGACCTCCCTCCCACGGTTCTTGTCCATGGGCTGAGTGCAGTGACCAGTACTGACCTGTGATGACCTCTTGCCTATGACTTTCTTGCCCACAACCATCTTTCTTCTTTTTTTGTTTTTTTTTTGTTCACAGACTTAAACAGTACTGACCATAGATGATCCTATAAATTATGACAGGCTATCAAATCAGCAGTTGGAAAAATGAAAACTCTGTTTAGACCCTAAATTCCTTTTATTTTCAACTTAATGCTCACAACCTTTTCTGGTGGTTCCTCCCTTTCTCCTTTTCTAATATCTTTTCCATCTCACATACATGTATGTATTGGGGATTTCCTCAACATATAATAGTCTTGTGACTTATTCTAATCTGTAAGGAAAACCACAATTTCTCCAACTGCTCTCCTCACAAATGAAATGTAATCCTAAGGACTTGTAGGACACTTTTCAAGGTCATTTAGTATTTTCAAGTTCGTCTAGGGACCTAGTGGTGCTGTTACTATAATTGTAGTTTTCTTCTATTCAGTGAATCAGTCACTTTGTAACTTACAAGCCACTTTAATATCTCTTTACAATGATACAAGGAAATTTTGAGCATTTATGTCATAATGATGTCACTGTTTGGTGTGTCGGTGCTTGTGAATGGGCACTTTAATTTGGACGGCATCAACCTTTTCCTATTACAGGTACTTAATGTGTACTTACACTTTCGTATTATTGTCAGTTTTATATTGCATTGAGTTATAAATGCATATTGGTATTTCTGAACTTTGATAACTTATGCATTGTAATAAATATAGTTTTAGAAGTGCAATGTATTGAGCAGGTTTGACTTCTGTTGCTTATGAATCTTATATTTCATACATTTTGTGTTGCTCTATAATGACCATATTAATATGGTCGATCGATGATGATGATTCTGAAAATAGTTTCATCAGGTTGGTAAAGTATAGGATATAGGATACAGGAATTTTCTAATTCTTTTACACAACCAAAATTCTTAACCTAAGTTAAGCTGGTGTGTAACGCCGAAAGGTGGCTATACCGGCTATACAGATACAGATACAGACACCGAAACGTGAGCACTTACATTGTAGGTGAGAAATCTGGTTGAGTAAAAGAAGACTCTTGTATCCAATGATGATGATGATGTGTTTCCTTCTGGTACCACTGATGAGTTTAACCTTTGGCATGCTAAGGTGGCCATTTGGTACAACATTCAGATTGGTTATGGGTTACTCAGAAGGTTAAGTTCATAAGAGGATACAAAGATGATATAAGATGTATAGAAATGTAACCATTTCTCCTCTGCGTTTACTGTACCTAATCTAGGAGGCAAATGTAACAAGTCTATTTTTCTAGTAATTGCTTACATACTAGTAGAGATAGAAATGTAATTTGATGTTGAGCAGTTTATTACATGTACTCAGGGCCTAATGTATGCTGCATAAGTGCTTAATAGATTATGAGCGAATAGAAATTACGTGTTGTAAATGAATTGGGGTTAAGAGCGCACCCATCATTCATTACTGATGTAACTAGCAATGTCCACTGTTGCAGTGCCTGACAGAATTCACAGAGAATGTTTCATTTAATGAAATTTGTGCAGGCACTTGGGTGTCACAAAACAGCCACCTACAGTCACTGAGAGTGACTATATGGTCAGAATGTTAGCCTGGGTGCCAGACCCACCCACAGCACACTAGGCTCAAAGTTATTCAGTGTGCACAATGGATAGCATTGAGCTTTGTGTGCTGTGGGTGGGTCTGGCACCCAAGCTATCAGAATGTTGGCCATGCCTATAGTTTTGGAAATGATAGAAAAAGCTGTGCATCCACCAGTTTATGCATTGATGCATGGTCGAAGTAAAGTGGCCTTAAGTTTTAGTTGTCAGCAGATAAATTATTGTTATTAGGTACATTATTGTTATTATGGGACACAGCATATCATATCCACTACTGATTCTGTGGGCCAAGAAGCTAAAACGGCAATTTTCATGATGGCATCGGAAAGAAGCTTTTGGTAGGAACTTCAAGGAACTTAGAAAGTGCTTATTTTACAGGAATATCAACTACACATGTAGTACACAAAATTATCACTGAGTAAATCTGCTATAGCTGAATATGCCTACAGTGTGCTGCTACATGTACATGTATGTACGTTATATATAATATGTTATGTTAGAGAAAAGAGGGACCAAAATTATGTCAACTTTGAGTAGTGTTTGTCTCCAAGAAATGATAAACAATGATGCGATATACAAATTATGATTCGTTTTATATACATGTATTACCATATTTGACGTTTGTCTTATAGTGTAATTAGAAACATTCGGTCTTGCCAACATTTCTGAAGAAAAAAATAAGTAAATAACAGTTACATACATAAACTTCAAACTTGGAAGAAATAAAAAGTGATGCAAATATGAGTCCTGCTTCGTTAATTTTGACAGATTATTTTTTTTTATTGTAGGTAGGTTTTGGACTTTAAGGTAACTTTCATTCTATATATGACAAAATTTACAAAAGGTCTAAAAAAGATGGGGAAAAAAGTCTTGTGAGAGTGGTTGATGTCCACAAACTAATAATGCTCATTTACGTAATATTACGTACATGTAATCTCCAAACAGATTGATACCAACAAATTGGTAGTGCTTCAACCGGCCTTATTCCTTACAAGTTACATGTATGTCTTGTGTATATTAAAGTTGATACAATTGAGGGAAGATACGCATGTAATTGTAGCACCACCTCTATGTAAGTGTCAAGACAGCCGTCAACTTAAGTTGCTACTAGAAACTTAATTGCGAAACAACATTGCACACTTACTCAAGTATTTACAATCAATGTGTTGTATGTTCTAATAGTCAGTCAATCTTGTATACAAAACATCGATATCACTTATAACGCATGTTAGCCAAGCACCAACAGCTTGATGTTTATCTTCAACTGTCTGTTCGATATGACTACTCCTGATGTTAGTTTAGTTTCAACTTGTTGCCATGTAGTGTCCAGTCCCCGTGTACTACCTTGTTTATTACTAGAGCCATCATATACAAGCTGAGAGGCACTGTTTCTCATTCTCATTTGTCCTGCAAGTGTGTGGACAGCGTCTCGTACCTGTTGCGCCGCCATGCGGAAAGACGCGGCCCTGCACGTGATGGGCCACATGCTGACATACTCTAGTTGTGTCATGTTCGCAAACGCCTTTGCCAGCGCAGAGAGACTGAGCGCCAGCTCGTTTTCATCCAAGTAGAGTTTCTTTAGCTGTTGCAGGTGAACCAGCCTGTTGGCCACGGCTCGTCCTCCTACGTTTGTTATTGAGTTCTTGGCAATGTTCAATTGCTGGAGCTGTTTCAGGTGAGGAAAGGTCTCTGCAATTGCTTCCACCCCTTCATCTCCTATCTCATTATACCTCAGAACTAAATCTGTCAGCGTATCCAGTACGTGTAGCTGTCCAGCCAGTACTGTCGCTGCGTCAGCAGAAATTCTGCAGTTGACAAGATAGAGCTCTGCAATTCCTCTCAGATACGGGAAAAGTTGGACCAAGGCCTCAACGTCAGTGTCCAACAATACATGCCTGCTTAGTGACAGCAACTTGTTGCCATTTTTCGGAAGTCCTTCCATCTTGTTTGCCTCTGCCTCCAACGCGTTCAAAATGGAAGAAAAGACCTCGCTATATGCGGATAGACCATGTGACTCCATGAACTTACTTGTAATGCCGTGTTCTATTGCGTAGCCTATGGCCTTATCCAAGGTGTGTGGGAGTTTATTGTGAATTTTCCAGTACCGACACACAATGGGCCAGAATAACCTGTCTTCTAGCAGGGCCATCACAATCTCGTTGTCCGGGTAACTTTCTTCCAAACCCGCGGCGGTGTCATTGTTCTGTTGGAAGTACGCTCTGATGTAGAGGGTCCACTCCCTCCACCGATCTGTGAGAAATACAAGAAACACGAACTGTCTTTCATTAATTTTTAGAGCTCTGAAGCTGTAGTAGACTTCAACTTAGTTTGCTTTCGAATGTGATAGCGACAATTCTTTTTAGCTGCTTTTAACGCAACATGTCTGTACACTCGTAACATGTTTGATTGTTTCGATATAACGTAAATAATCATTTCAATATAACTATGACCAGGTTTCATGTTGACATGCATAAACATATGTAACATTGCAATAAATCTGAATCTGAAATAATGGACATTAGGTTCTGTATCTTTACAGCCGATATAATTTCTATAACCACTCCTCGGCGAAACACATACCTACACCAGCTAAACTACAAATACCAAAGTACAGAATCAGACTATCACTACGTAGTATACGGTACCTTGTCTCAGTACTGAATGAACAGAAAACTATGGCTACTTACCTGTCTCAACTGTCGTCTCAGAAGTAGCTTGTGACGTCACAGGCAGATATGCAGATGCTGTGGAGGTCGCAGGCAGATGTGCAGCTGTTGTGGAGGTCACAGGCAGATGGGCAGATGTTATGGAGGTTGTTGGAAGTGATGTGTGGTTCAGCTGTAATAAGAAAAAAAAACAGACGTATATAAGCAATATCATACCATAGTAATATGAACAAAAACCACACACCTGAAGTGCATACGTACATGTAGACTTAGTTACGCTGTTTGATTACAAACCTCGTAAAGAAATGCTTATAAGAAATGTGTGCCAATGCATTATTGAAAGAAAAAGATAAGAAAATGATGAGGCATATAGCCGTGTTTCCTTTTATGGTCCTAAAATTGGAGTCAGTTTACATTTTAACTAGCCAAATAAAGCGATGCAAACACAGCTGAAATGCGCCAATATACAGGAATGGTATTTGGAATTGAACAGAAACGTTAGGTCAGGTTCTGATTTGCTTGGTCCAATGTACCGTCCGAGTTCGGTTTTTTTTTTTTTTTTTTTG